ACGGATTTCCTCTTGTAGGCTTGTCTAAGATATCCTAAATGGTTGGAAGATTGCTTTCCAATTCAAACCACTCTTAGGGTAGGCAAATGGCTTGGGACCCCTGAGGGCATATCTTACATGGTGGTAGAGATGGGAAAGGATTTCAATCACTATGAGAGAGAAATGCATGATTGTTAAATACAGTTCATCCCAGCAGATTTACATGCTAGACTTTTTTCAAAAAGGACCATAATAAAGAAAATAACCGTTTCTTTTTCCTTACACAATTTTTGTTGTTAACTCTGTCAGAGACAGGATATTTGCTGCATGTGCCAGTAGTCTAATGGGCTTGGGGTTTTTTTTTATACCCTTAAAATCACAGAATTTTAGGTGTAGAAGTGGCCTTATGCCACCATTAGGTAGTACTCATCAGATTCCCTTTCCTTCAATGGGACTTAACTTTATTGTCATTTCTTTCCACCATGATTTCCACAGACCCCCACTCTCTCGCTGGGTTAGTCCCCTCCATGCCCCTTGACCTGTGTGTCAGTCAGTTCTCTATTAAGGCACGTGTCACACTGTATGGCAATCATTTGTTCATATGAATGTCTTTCCCTTTGGACTGTAAGCTGTGTAAAGGCAGGAAGTGGAATATGACCACATACTTCCCACTGCCCAGCTGAAAGCCTAGTTTATGGTAAGAACTTAAGGAGGATTAACACCTCCATAGTAGCAAACAACTCCCAAATCTCAGTGGCTTAAGACAATCTTGGGTTGGCAAGGGTCCTGTTTCACGGTGTCCTCACTGAGGGGTATAGGCTAAGAAAGTCTGCATAAACTTGGATGCATGCTAGTCATCTTGGCAGGGGGCTGGAAGGAGTGAATCAGGCCCCAGTTCTTCATGTTTCAGCTTGGAACTGACATGTCACTTTCTCTCATTGTTCCTTGATCAAAGCAAGAGATGTAGCCATACCCAATGGCATAGGGGTGTACAAGAGCAACACCTCTTTGTTTCTGAGAGGAGGACGACAGGAATGTCAGCGAGCCCCACTGATACCTAAATCAATATCTGATACACGGTGGGTACCTATGAACCATTCAATGAATATAGTACCTAGAACTTTCTGTTGGGATTTTAAACTTTTCTGTACAATAATTAGAACCACTTCAAGTATGTATCCTGTTAACTACATTTTTTAGAAGATGAGGCTGCTAATATTATTGTACAGGCTGTGTTCAGCAGACTTCTGGGAATTTTTTTGTATCCACTCTGTTCATTTTACTCATATTAGGGGAGGCGTTGTGTTTGATTTTGTAGTTTTTCAGATGATTAGAGTACGGAATGCGTATATTTGCACAATTAACATTTTGCCTGAGTCATTAAGAAGAGTTGGGAAAAATGTTGAAGTCGTCAAAGACTGACATATTAAGTTATTCTGACCAAGAACCTTTTTTAGAAGAGTTATTACCTGGCTCAACAGTTGGACAAAAGCTTAGGAAAAATGAGAACGTAATCGACTTAAACATGAAGCATTTCTGAGAACACTTAAGTTCTACTTTCTTAGCAAATTTCAATTATATAATAGTATTTTCAACTACGTAGTCACCGTGTTTTATATTAGATCCTCAGACATCCATCTTGTAGCTGAAAGTCTGTACCCTTTTACCAACTCATTTACAACTTGAATATTCTCTTTTCTCTCTCTTTCTTTCTTTCACACACACACACACACGTGTTTGAGGTGATGGATGTGTTAACTAACCAGATGGTGAGAATCCGTTCACAACATGTATGTACATCAAATCACCACAATGTCCATTTTAAATATCTTACAATCTTATCTGTCAATCATACCTCAATAAAGCTGAAATAAAATAGATGCAAATTTTTATTTTTACTTTTATTTTTATTTAAAGATTTTATTTATTTATTCATGAGAGACAGAGAGAGAGAGAGAGGCGGAGGGAGAAGCAGGCTCCCAAGGAGCAGGGAGCCTGATGCGGGACTCGATTCCAGAACCCTGGGACCATGACCCGAGCCGAAGGCAGACGCCCAACCATATGAGCCACCCAGGTGCACAACAAATGCAACTTTTTAAAAAGAGAAGTATTGCCACAGATTATACTCTAGTATTTTGCATTGTTTTCCCCCCCTTAACTGTCAAAGCAACTCAGATAGAGTGCATAAAATGTGGAAAGTACAAACTAGTATGAGAGGTGAATTAAAAATCACTGGTAATACCTCCACCCAGATAAAACCACTACTGACTTTTTGGCATGATTTCTTCCATTCCATTGTTCTTGTTCTTGGTGTAGAATAGGCATATAGACAAGGCAAGAGAAGATATTGGTTCATAATAGGGGGGTAGCAGTGGAAATGGCGAGAAATGATCAGATTGAGACTATGTTTTAGGGACAATGTTGATAAGATTTCTTGATGGATAAAATGAGGAAGGAGGTGATAGACGAGGGATAAGATTAAGAGAAGAGACATTGATTGGGGATATCAATGATGACTCCCAGGATTTTGGCCTGAGTGTCTGTGTGTAATCCGTGTGTTTGGGTGGGTGTACATATAAGAAAACTGTACTCATTACATATGACTTTGAAAATTTACTGAACATTATATGAATGCACTTTTTAGGCTAGAAATTATACTTCAAAATAATTATTTTAAATGAGTGTGTAATATTCACCCATATGAAGTATTGTACCTTGTTTAAATTTCTCCCTATTGTTAGGCGTTTAGGGTATTTGCCCCCCATAATAAATAACAATCTAATGTCCTCGGGGCCCACTTATTTCCTTGTTTCTTCAATTTGAAAATATTTAACTTGAGGGAATTGGCCAAGGTTGGCTGGAATTTGAGCATGGCAGACCAAGCAGAGTTGAAGTTAGTTGAGAACAGAGGGGATCATGACTGGAGGTCATCTTGGTTTCAGTCCTCCCAGGGGGCAGAGGGAGCTCTGTCTCAAACCAGGCTTGCGTTGCCTTCAAGATCGTAGCTGGTGCTCATAAGCAGTTGCTGAAAGGGACATTTGGCTTGGGGGCAGGGATGGCATGGTCCCTGAAGAATGAAAGACCTGATAAAAGCCAGATTGCAGGACCAGATTCCAGCAGGGAGGCAGTTCTAAAGGAGAATCTCTTTTTTTTTTTTTTTTTCTTGAGGTCTACTCCAAAAGATAATCATGCTTTTAATCCACCAGGGCAGGGATTGGGGTTGGAGGATAGGGAACCCAAAGCAGAGCTTACTGGGGGAAGCTGAACTTTACAAGATGATGGGTACTTAGCCCATCACTAGGATTTAAGCACCCAGACTGTTTCTTGGCCCCAGCCTGGATAGGAAGCAGTTCCCTACTCTACTGTCTGAATCTGCCCAGGAAATCTGCAAAGCTGAGCATGCAAGGCAAAGTCCCCGATCTCTGGCTAGGACACAGTGGAGGAAGGCTGTGACAGAAATTGAAAACTAGTGTTCATTGTGTGTCTCACCAGTGGGTCCATTGGAGTGAGAAGAGGCTGGAGATGAGATGAAATACTACATCTACACCTCTTCCTTGAACTTGTGGCCTAGTTATGGAAGCAAGCCTGTCATAAAATTGGTTACTCACCATGAATGACTCTGTTGATATAGAGACCAGGGATGTAATACCTAGTGTCTGAGGAGCCTGAGGTGTTGGACCATCTCAGCAGTGCATGAGTTCAATGTGAATGTTTAAACTGTCTTTGCGGGCGCCTGGGTGGCTCAGTTGGTTGAGCGACTGCCTTCGGCTCAGGTCATGATCCTGGAGTCCCGGGATCGAGTCCCACATCGGGCTCCCTGCTCAGTGGGGAGTCTGCTTCTCCCTCTGACCTTCTTCCCTCTCATGCTCTCTATCTCTCATTCTCTCTCTCTCAAATAAATAAATAAAATCTTAAAAAAAAAATAAACTGTGTCTTTGCTTTGATGATAATCTGCAAAATACGTATTTTTATCAGTTACAAATACAAGCCTTCTCATTTGCAGCGATATTTTGTATTTAAAGTACGTTTTCATAACCTAAAACTTATTTTCTTAAGTTAATGGAATTCAAATGAGAGTGTGAGATCAAGGATGAGCATGATTCATTTAGGGTGCCTGGAACTTGAAGGGTACTCCAGTTTCAGGTTTTAAATACTGCCTCCTGACCCTGAGATGGCGGTAGTTTTGGGAACCCTCTTTTCTCTGTTTCCTCGATTACCTGCCTTTTTCTGATGGGTGCATGAGCTTTATGAAATCTTCCTTGAGAAGGTAACTCTCATAGCCCCCTTTAAAGAGTCATCTTCTGGCCCTCATGTTACTGATCAGTGTCTGATGTGAAACTTTCTTTGTGTGCCACAATGCGAATTTTGTCTCCGCAGGCCTTGACTTCTGAGCAGTTGATGATTCTAGCAGAGACATCCAAAGGGGGGTGCATTGCATCACCACATTGGGTGTTTGCCTGGGTGTACTCAGGAAGCAGGTGGTCCACTAAGGACTGGAACACTAACGGGAAATTGTCTCTTTTATGGACAAACCTCACCTGTACTTTGTTAGGGATTTGTTCTTCTCAAATATCATCCATGGCCTCTTGAGTTATTTTTCTTTTGTATGAAAAGCATCCCAGATCAGTGTTCTTTTTTTTTTTTTTAAGATTTTATTTATTTATTTGAGAGAGAGAGAGAAAGCACAAGCAGGGGGAGCAGCAAAGGGAGAGAGTGAAGCAGGCTCCTCGCTGAGCAGGGAGCCTGACGCCGGGCTCGATTCCAGGACCCTGGAATCCTGACCTGAGCCAAAGGCAGACGCTTAACCGACTGAGCCGCCCAGGTGCCCCCTGATCAGTGTTCTATATGGTTCTTCATTTTGCAGTAGTTTTACTAGATTTATTACTAAAACAGAGTTTGCGTTTGTTAATTACATCAGGTCGGACTGCAAGGCTATTTGTTCAGATGCAGGCTGACAAGTCCTTGCTCTTTTTCAATCTTCTTTGCTAAGTAAGACTTTCTCTTTTTCCTTTACAGACTCCAACAAGATCATGGCGGAGCATTGCCACACACAGAAGCAGCTTGATTTACAAAATGGTAGCTTAGAGGCAGGCTTGGTGGCAAATTCCCTCGAGGACGATTCCCCAAACATGATGGAGAGCCTGAGCCCGAAGAAATATTCTTCCAGCCTGAGATTTAAAGCCAATGGAGACTATTCTGGCTCTTATTTAACCCTCTCACAACCTGTGGCTACTAAGAGAAGCCCTTCCCCTCTGGGAACCAGTGTCAGGAGCAGCCCCTCCCTGGCCAAAATCCAGGGAAGCAAGCAGTTCTCCTGTGATGGGACTGACAAAAATATTTCCATGAAACCACCCACCCCTCTACTCGGCACTTCCCCCTCCCTCAGTGGGTACCCACTTGGGAGAGGGGACTTTGATCATTATACTGGCCGGGACAGTGAAAGGTCCTTGAGGCTCGCAGAGAAGCCTCCCTACTCCAAATATAGCTCGAGGAATAAATCCCACGACAATGTCTACTTTCTCGGGGGGTTGGAAGGCCGGAAAGTGTCTGGCTCGCTCCTGGCCATGTGGAACGGAAGTCCCCTGAGTGACACGGGCCCCTCTCCCATCAGCAGATCGGGGGCAGCAAGCATGCCTTCAAGCCCAAAGCAAGCCAGGAAAATGAGCATCCAGGACAACCTGACCCTTCAGCCCAAGTTGAGCCGACACAAGGAGCCGGCATCTGAAAACATGGGTTTAAGAACTAGGAAGTATTCGGGCAGCAGCCTGAGTCACATGGGAGCCTACAGCCGCTCTCTCCCCAGGTTGCACAGGGCCACCGACAACCAGCTGACACCCCTCAGTTTGCCTCCCAGAAACTCTCTGGGCAGTTCCAAACGAACGAAACTGGGGGAAAAGGATCTACCTCATAGCATCATAGACAATGACAATTACCTGAATTTCTCTTCTTTGAGCTCAGGGGCTTTACCCTATAAACCCTCGGCGTCTGAGGGCCATCCTTACGTCAGTTCCACCCTCAGTGTCCCTGCCAGTCCGCGAGTGGCTCGCAAGATGCTTCTGGCCTCCACCTCCTCCTGTACCTCCGATGACCTTGACAGGGCTCCCTACTCCGGGCCTGGCCCAGGTCACTCGTTTCCTCCTGGGGAGCCGGACAGAGCGTTTGCCGCCAGGAGGAACTTCTCTTGTGGATCTGTCGAGTTTGATGATGCAGATTTGGACAGCCTCAGACAGGCCTCAGGAACTCCCCAGCCCATCCTTCGGGAGAGGAAAAGCAGCATCAGCTCCATTTCAGGCCGCGATGACCTGATGGATTATCACCGGCGGCAGAGGGAGGAGAGACTCAGGGAGCAGGAGATGGAGCGACTGGTAATCTTCATCTGACTTGACCTCACTCTCCCCTTGAGCAGCTTCCTGGAGACGCACTCCAAGGATACGTGTGGGCCTGTAGGATGCCCAAGGGCACCAGCCACTGCTGTGCCTTTCTAGAATTCTGCTGTCCTTCCCTTTCTCGGTCCCTATTATTTATTGGTCACGTGTGGGTACTTGAAGGCCTACCTGTAGCTAGTGTTATGTTAAGTTGCTCTGCAGAGTCTTCTTGATAAACCTAACCAAGTAGTTGTGAATTTTACTGAATTTCTTATAAGTCTTACAAACTTTTCTTTAAGACTGTGAGTAAACACTGATTTATATTACCGATGCCATCGGATTAGCATGTGCGTGGTCTGATAGGAATAATCGGTGAAATCATGACTCATTGGGAATTAGGCAGTAAACTTTTTGGTAGAACAAGTGGTCTGGAAAGTTGAAAGCTCGGCTAAATGTTGCTCAACCTTTTTCCTGCACAGTACACATACACCACCCCCATATGTCTTTCAGTGATGTCTCCTAGTACATAGTGAACCCAACTACACATTTAGAAAAGTTTTTTGAGTTGTCTTTTTCTATTAAAAATGGATTTATGCTTATTGTTGGAAATACTGAAAATAGTAAGAAAGGAGGAAACATCCCTTGAGAGTCTCATTACGGAATGAGGACAAACTACTGCATTCTTTTTTTTTTTAATTTTTTTATTGTTATGTTAATCACCATATATTACATCATTAGTTTTTGGTGCAGTGTTCCATGATTCATTGTTTGTTCATAACACCCAGTGCTCCATGCAGAACGTGCCCTCCTCAATACCCATCACCAGGATAACCCATCCCCCTACCCCCCTCCCCTCTAGAACCCTCAGTTTGTTTTTCAGAGTCCATCATCTCTCATGGTTCGTCTCCCCCTCTGACACAAACTACTGCATTCTTATTCTATTTTTCTTTTAAGCATAGACTTTTGTCCATGTGTTTTTTAGGAAGAACAGGGTCAGAGATTATTTTAATTCATTAATGGTGAGTTGTTCCTTGATGAGGGATGCGGCAAGATGATAAAGCTGATCTACAAAAGTATAAGAGTATCAAAAGTATTTTCATTGCTAAAAGAAAGTATACGGGAATAAGATTTCTAAATCACATACCAAGCTGAGTAATGCCCCACAGGATAATAAAATTATGACCTTTGGATTCAAATGGACAGAAACTGTTTGCATCTATCCAGGACAAAATTTTATTGGAATTTTAGAAAAAGCATCATTTGCATCACTAGTAGTTTTTGATAAGTAAGTATCTATCCTTACAGATATCCTAATCAGCAATAGTGAATGAAAATGCATGTGCATACCCTTAGAGAACTCTATATTCCTTGGGTGGGTCTGTTAGATGGTGCTCCAGTATGACAATTTCCTTTGTTATCATAAATAATCTCCAGAGATTTTTCATGGTCACAAAAAGGTATTGTATTTGGGCTTGATTCATTGACATAAGTTCAGGAGAAGTTTTAATTAGCATATGTAAAAGCTTTCTTGTATGTGGGATAGCAAATCTGGCTCTATTAGTGTGCTGAACAACTCTTACTTTTTTTCCTGTAGTATAATTGACACACAGTGTTACATGGGGTTACGTTAGTTTCAGGCATACAACATTGTGATTCTGCAGATCTATACATTAGGCTATGCTCATTGGGAGTGGGGCTCCCATCTGTCACCTTACAACTACTGATATATCCCCTATGCTGTACCTTTCATCCTGGAGCAACTATTATTGGCGAAGCCAGAAAGTTAACCTCTATTGGATACTTTATTAAGGAATCTGGGAGAGCATTTCAAAGGCTTCCTTCACTCCAGCGATCTTCTGAGGTGCTTTTATTTCCCCTTCTGCTCCAAGGGCGGGAAACCAACCTCGAGAATCACCTCCAGTTTCATCTTTAGCACTTTTAAGTGTGGAGCATTTCTCATTCCTCCAGTTTCGCCAAATCTGCTAAAGTTCCTGACAATCCAGGAAGTGACTTTCCTTACTGCCTGTAAAGTCAGTGCCTTGTAAGTCACAAACAGGTCTTGGTTCAACTTCTTGGGAGAACTTTGTGGGTACTGGCTCCAAATACGAAGTTAGAACCCTTTTTTCTTCATGATGGGCTTTATGGTATTTGCTGAAATGAAAAAATGCTTATTTTTAAATATGACGCTCTGGGTTTGGCCTCTGTTGCTTAGTCTATTTGCCTAGTGACCTCCCAGTAAAAGGGAAGAGAGATTCTTACTGAGCCTATGCAAGTAATGTTATTTCTTTTAAAAAATACAGTGACTTAGAAAAGATATTTCTACCTGAGTTCTGAGGGACCAAGGAGAAGAAGCTACCCTTGAAAGAATGTTTCATTTAGTTTGCAAAATCAGAGTCAGCTAAATTGAGGGTTAGAGATAGATGGAGATGAATGCTAAAGGTGTTCCCCATTTAGACAGTAGAACATTACACATAATGCCAATGATTTTCCACAATACATACAGAAATTAGATTTCTAGGATCAGTCCGATGAGTTCTGTATAATTCTTAGTCCTTTGCGTCTTGGGTCTATAACTTACAGCAGAATATCTAGTCAAACTTGAGAGGAAAGCAGAGACCACTTGGTGAGGATAAGAGCAAGTGGCTGTGATTCATCTGTGGTTAAGTTCATGAACAATAATCAGCAAGAAGGAGAATTAAAATCCTCTGTCAGGGCGTAGGACATTGGTCTTCTTTAATCAGTGTTTCCCGGGAGGGTAAGAACGTATCAAAGAGGGTGAGGACATTTCACGTACACCGAGGACCTTTCTGTAAAGTACACCATCTCGGGACTTTATTTATATTATAATATCTTACCCATACAAAATTAGCCTAGGGAAGGCTGAGCTTCTCATTTGATTTGATAAATCTTCCTGTGCAATTTTTGATGGTGTTGAGCTATTCATAAATAAGGGCATAGCAAACCTCATTATTTCTGACATTCTTCTTTTTGTAAAGGTAAGGAACAAATCTTGTGCTTGCCCAGGTGTCAAATGGGAAAACTTAAGGATAGTTCAGGTATAAAAGATATCTTGGAAAACTTTTTTTTTTTTTTCTGAATTTAGGGTCCGATTTTGGGAAGGCAAAGTCAAATATTAATTAGAGAAGATTTCATTACGTGACTAAGATAGGACTGTGGGTGGATGACAACAATGAATGTCTGCAGTTTGCCTACTGAATAAAAACAATAGCTTATTTTATAATCTACAAGATATCTTTTTTTTAAGATTTTATTTATTTATTCATGAGAGACAGAGAGAGAGAGAAGCAGAGGGAGAAGCAGGCACCCAAGGAGCAGGGAGCCCGATGTGGGACTCGATCCCAGGACCCTGGGATCATGACCTGAGCTGAAGGCAGGCGCTTAACCATCTGAGCCACCCAGGCGCCCTATAGTCTACAAGATATCTTAAATCATTAGGAAATGAAGAACTTTTTTGTCATTTTAAATATTCAGGTAGGGGCGCCTGGGTGGCTCAGTCATTAGGCATCTGCCTTCGGCTCAGGTCATGATCCCCGGGTCCTGGGATTGAGCCCCACATCGGGCTCCCTGCTCCGCGAGGGGTCTGCTTCTCCCTCTCCCACTCCCCCTGCTTGTGTTCCCTCTCTTGCTGTGTCTCTCTCTGTCAAATAAATAAATAAAATCTTTAAAAATAAATAAATAAATAAATATTCAGGGATATATTCCGGTTAGCACAAAGCACAAAAAAAGTTACTCTTGTGAGATACCGAATCTCTCTGCTCTTGGGCAGATTATGTAGAAAAATAACCTTTATTAGTTTTTATAAGCATAGGCTGATTTCTCCAAGATCAATCTGTCTTGGTATAGGTATATAGGTAACTGCATTTTAGTTTTATGTTAATAGGGTATTTGTCATGCATTACATTTTTTAAAATTACTTTATGAATGAAACCATCAAAGTTGTGCAAACTTTGCCATAATTTTAACATTTTGTTACATTTTTATAGACTTGCTATTGCAAGTATTATGAACCAAGTCAAATAAAGCTCCCTTTGTGCAAACCTACAATTTTTTAATTTTCACCAACTTTTGTTCTTCTTGGTCTTCTGTCAATTCTGGAATGACCGGATACTTTAAGGCAAAAAGTATGTAACTTAAAGATATTGGAAATTATGCTTAAACTGACACATCACGGAACGTAATTACTATTGATATAAAAAGGTGTGTCACAGTTATAATTCAGTTTTGTTTTGAGCACAACTTTTATATTTTTCTTAACCTTAAACATTACATGGAAGTAATCTTAGCTTATCTTTCAGTAAACTAATATTATAAGACATTTAAAAAATTCAGATAAACTAATTCCTTTGTGATAAAATAAATCCAAACTTACTTAAGTATGAAATTACAGGAGCACCTGGGTGGCTCAGTTGGTTGAGCATCTGACTCTTGGTTTCAGCTCAGTCACGATCTCAGTCCTGGGATCGAGCCCTGCACTGGGCTCTGCGTTCAGCATGGAGTCTGCTTGGGATTGTCTCCCTCTTCCTCCGTCCCTCCCCCACTCATGCTCTTTTTCTCTTTCTCTTAAATGAATAACTCTCTCAAAAAAAGTAGGAAATTACACATGTATTATACTGTACACAAATAAAACAAGGAAAAAACATATAGCTGATTTTTAAACCAGGTTGTCAAATCAGTCTGACTTGAACAAAAGATTGCTTTGATCACGTAAACTTCTTTTCTTTTCTAAGAAAAAAAAATGCTTCTGAAATCAGCATTTTTTAATGAGAAGGTTCTTTTTCCTAAAATGTGAATATATTTTAATTATTAGACTTTCATTTTATTTTCTTAGAATTTTGGAAATGTTAGTTTTAGCTAAATGCTTATTAGTCTCTAAAACACTTTATTATTATCCTCAGGAAGTAGGAAAATACTTCACACATACACAGTGATTTTTTGCCCCCTTCAGGTACAGAGACTCAGATAAAGAACTTAAAGCTTTT